CCCACCTCCATGTTTTCCCGTGGGTGTCGAGGACGACAGCCCACCTCGACGCCTGCCTGTGGGTGACGAGGACGACAGCCCACCTCCACGCCCGCCCGTGGGTGTCGAGGACGACAGCCCACCTCCACGCCGGCCCGTGGGTGTCGAGGACGACAGCCCACCTCCACACCCGCCCGTAGGTGTTGAGGATGACAGCCCACCTCCACGCCTGCCTGTGGGCATCGGGATCGACAGCCCACCTCCACGCCTTGTGGGTGTTGGGAATGACAGCCCACCACTATGTCTTGCAGTGGGTGTCGAGAACAACAGCCCACCACTACGCCTCACAGTGTGTGTCAGGTACAACAGCCCACCACTACCATATGCCACCACACCTCTGGAGAGTTTCAGCATGTTACTCGAGAAAGCTGCAGCTACCCAGGCTTCCACGACTGCTGCAGCTCTGATCCCCAAGCTTGATGCAGCTCTGACCCCCACGCTTGCTGTAGCTCTGACCCCCACGCTTGCTGCAGCTCTAACTGCATTGCTTGCTGCAGCTCTGACCCCATCGCCTGCTGCAACTCTAACCACATGCCTGCTACAGCTCTGACCATCACACCTGCTGCAGATCTGACCCCCACACCTGCTGCAGATCTGACTCCCACGCCTGCTACAGATCTGACCCCCACGCCTGCTGCAGATCTGACTCCCATGCCTGCTACAGATCTGACCCCCACGCCTGCTGCATCGCCTGCTGCAGATCTGACACCATCGCCTGCAGCAGATCTGACCCTTTCACCGTGTGCTGGATGGTCACCTGGCCGTCCACCCGAGATGTTGCCACATGCCAAACGACCTCCTGGCTACCCACCTGAGCCATGAAACAGCCCTAGACTGCCCTTATGGCCATCAACCTGTTTTCTTGCCCTCCTCCAGATCCCCTCTATCCACCCAGTTCTTTTTAGTTTTCCTGGTGGTCCGTCAGGATGCCAGACCTTAAAGGGGGAGGTATGTCATGATCAGCAGTCTCTGCTTGCCCCCCCATCTGCTCACGTCTCTGCCCCTTCATGCTATAATCACGTCCTCTGTTCCTTGCCTCGCTCATAGCCCCTCATGTCACGTTCCTCTGCTCCTCTTTGTCATGTTCTGTTTCCTTGCTCCTGTCATTCAGTCACGCCGCCCTCTGCACATTCAGCCCACAGACCTGATTCATTGCACCTGTTCTGCTCCCTATTTAAGCCTCATGCTCTCACTCACTTGTTGCCAGATTTTTTAAAATGCCATTGTCCCTGATTTTGAAGCCATCACAGTTCCTGTTTCAAACCAAAGCCTTGTATCCTTGCCTTGCCTTGACCCCTCACCTTTACCACGGTTTCCTCGTCTTGCCTGTCCCTCTTCAGATTTGGATTCTTCGCTCTGACCATGGTATTGAACCTGCCTTCCTCCTTCTACTATGACTTCACCTCACGGATCACGTTTTGGCTTTGGCTTCTGCTCTCAGCTTTCCTGTGCATGACCCCTGCTATATTTCTCAGACTCTGGATTGCCCCCCCCCCCCCTTTCAGAACACAAACAGCTTCAGCCTGCTCCGCTGCTGCAGCTCACTCTGCATGAGTGATGTCACAGGCACCAGCACAACAGTATTTGCCACATTACAGACTCAGAAGGTTAGCGACTTTTACAGTAATCCAGATAACCTCCTGGTCCTCGTCAAAGTCACTAAGCTCTCCTTCTTTAAGATTGGACTCCCACCTGGACCCTGACTCCTCCATCCAGCAACCAGCAGATAATAATAAAAACTGTTATTGTTTTTGCACTCCTGTGTCTGGCTTATACTGAATCGAAAACCCGTTCATGACACATGCAGGCAGATGGAGGATCTTGTTAGCAGCATTAGCAGGTCTAGTTAGCAGGTCCCATCAGCAGCTTGATGGTAATGATGACCAGAGCAGCTGCTCTCCCAGACTGCCCTCCAGAACCAGGTCAAGCAGACGGAGAACATCCAAGGTTTCCCCGTGGAATCGAACGGGTCCGTAGAGTTCGGTCCATGCAGGCAGATGGAGGATCCTGGAGACAGCCGCCATGACAGGTCTGAGCCCGAGGCTGGAAGAACTGAACCACAATGGCAGGATGGCATGATAGCAAGGCAGCGACACAGAAAACTCCACAAGTGTGTCGTGGTCATACCCATACTGTGGATGTGCAGTGTAGGCACAAAAAAAAAAGTTAAAACAAAAGCAACAGGAAGATAAAAAGATTGATCGAAATGTAGGCTCTGGTAGCTGCAGCTAATTACAGAGATCAGTGTCTAAATCTGTACCTACGATTAAAAAGTATATTTTCAGAATTCATGCAAAAAGAGCAGAGCCATATCAACAGCAATAGTAAATAACGATTATGTCAGCTTCATAGGCTACTTTTTATGGCTGTATTATTTCAGTTCTGGTTGGATCACATTTGAATCAAGGTTAAAAAAAAAAGATCAAATCGGCTGACTTGTGAAAGGAAACATGTTGATGTTTTCCCTTTTCTCTATCATTGATCTATCCATACAGCTGTAGTGCACATACATTCTAATATATTATAATATTACCTACACTTTATTATTATTTTTAGACTTTTTTTTCTTTTTACATAGTCAGCCCTTACCTCGGGGTTATTTAGTCAAAACGACTTGTGCAGACATTTGAGTGTTCTGGTAATGGCTGCAGTTGCTGTAGTGAATCACAATGTCACATGACCAGTGTTTGTAAATAATAAAGAGTGGCTTTTCTAAATAAATATGAAACCGTGCTACTTTTAATTTGTTGCACTGCCCTCAAGTACAATTTATGTACTGTAATTAACAATGTAATCAACTGAGAAAAGCCACCGTTGCCTGTGATTTACTCAAAATAAGTCACGCAAAAATTATGCAAATAAAATATAGAAATGAGAACCATCTAGTCTCCAAGTTCCATGATAATAAGTTCCACTGCAGAGCTGTATGTCCTGTTTCAAACGGACACAATGATGTGTGTTTTTGTGTCGTTGGTGGTTTTCTGTTATACCTGGACAAAAAAGGCTCCCTCCAGTGCCTGAGCCAAGTCCTCATAACTGCTGAGCAGAGCAAGCTGCTGCGCGGTGCTCAGCTGCCCTCTCAGCATGTGGTTCTTCTCCAGCTCCTCCAATTGCTTCCTGAGTCAGCACACAGCAGGAGATACTGTCAGCACACTCACACATTCAACACACAACAGAAATGCACACAACAAAGTTTCTATGTGTTACAAAATATATTTCAAAAGCTTTTTGTAAAATAAGTGAACATGAACTGTTTGACAGAACGATTTAAATCAGTGTTTCTCCAACTTTTCCACATCTGAGCCACAAATTGATTGATTAGAGAAAGATTGCTAATAAATGGTAAATGGACTATATTATATTGCACCTATCCCTTTCTATCTTATCAAGACACTCAAAGCGCTTTACAACACAATCTGTGTCCTCATTTACCCATTCATACAGCACTTTACTAGATCTATACGAAGATTAATCAGTGCTTTATCAAATTCATGCATCTGAGGCAATGAGGGGTTCACTGTCTTGTCCAGGGACACTTCGGCATGTGACTGCTGGTGGAATTGAACCCCCAGCTTTTGTATTGGAGGACAACTGCTCTAACCACTCAGCCACAGCCGCCACATGTACAGGTACTTCTCAAAAAACTAGCATATTGTGATAAAGGTCATTATTTTCCATAATGTAATGATAAAAATGAAACTTTCATATATTTCAGATTCATTGCACACCAACTGAAATATTTCAGGTCTTTAATTGTTTTAATACTGATGATTATGACATACAGCTCATGAAAACCCAAAATGCCTGTCCCAAAAAATTAGCATATTTCATCCCACCAATGAAAGACAAGTGTTTTTAATACAAAAAACGCCAACCTTCAAATAATCATGTTCAGTTATGCACTCAATACTTGGTCGGGAATCCTTTTGCATGAATGACTGCTTCAATGCGGCGTGGCATGGAGGCAATCAGCCTGTGGCACTGCTGAGGTGTTCTGGAGGCCCAGGATGCTTCGATAGCGGCCTTAAGCTCATCCAGAGTGTTGGGTCTTGCGTCTCTCAACTTTCTCTTCACAATATCCCACAGGTTCTCTATGGGGTTCAGGTCAGGAGAGTTGGGAGGCCAATTGAGCACAGTAATACCATGGTCAGTAAACCATTTACCAGTGGTTTTGGCACTGTGAGCAGGTGCCAGGTCGTGCTGAAAAATGAATTCTTCATCTCCATAAAGCTTTTCAGCAGATGGAAGCATGAAGTGCTCCAACATCTCCTGATAGCTAGCTGCATTGACCCTGCCCTTGATAAAACACAGTGGACAAACACCAGCAGCTGACATGGCACCCAGACCATCACTGACTGTGGGTGCTTCACACTGGACTTCTGGCATTTTGGCATTTCCTTCTCCCCAGTCTTCCTCCAGACTCTGGCACCTTGATTTCCGAACGACATGCAAAATTTGCTTTCATCCGAAAAAAGTACTTTGGACCACTGAGCAACAGTCCAGTGCTGCTTCTCTGTAGCCCAGGTCAGGCGCTTCTGCTGCTGTTTCTGGTTCAAAAGTGGCTTGACCTGGGGAATGCGGCACCTGTAGCCCATTTCCTGCACACGCCTGTGCACGGTGGCTCTGGATGTTTCTACTCCAGACTCAGTCCACTGCTTCCGCAGGTCCCCCAAGGTCTGGAATCGGCCCTTCTCCACAATCCTCCTCAGGGTCCGGTCACCTCTTCTCGTTGTGCAGCGTTTTCTGCCACACTTTTCCCTTCCCACAGACTTCCCACTGAGGTGCCTTGATACAGCACTCTGGGAACAGCCTATTCGTTCAGCAATTTCTTTCTGTGTCTTACCCTCTTGCTTGAGGGTGTCAATGATGGCCTTCTGGAGAGCAGTCAGGTCGGCAGTCTTACCCATGATTGTGGTTTTGAGTAATGAACAAGGCTAGGAGTTTTTAAAAGCCTCAGGAATCTTTTGCAGGTGTTTAGCGTTACGTCGTTGATTCAGATGGTTAGGTGAATAGCTTGTTTAGAGAACCTTTTCATGATATGCTAATTTTTTGGGACAGGCATTTTGGGTTTTCATGAGCTGTATGCCATAATCATCAGTATTAAAACAATTAAAGACCTGAAATATTTCAGTTGGTGTGCAATGAATCTGAAATATATGAAAGTTTCATTTTTATCATTACATTATGGAAAATAATGACCTTTATCACAATATGCTAATTTTTTTCGAAGGACCTGTATACATAATAAGTCAATAATAACACAGAGAGCCCTTTGCTAATTTACAACTACTGTTTTCTTATTAGGCAGCACAGTGGCACAACTGGTAGAGCAGTTGCCTCTCAGCAAGCAGGTCATGCCAGCCTTTGCTCCTTCTTCTTTCCTTTTTAATGGCACTATACAACAACACACATCAACAGCACATCTAGGGGCGGGGGTGTATGTGTCGGGGTCTTATTTTTTTATTGTTTATTTTATTTTATTTTTTTTCCCTCCCCCCCTAGTTCCCTGACTGCCATTCCGGGGGTGGGGTCCGGGAGAAGGGCAGGCCGTCGGGTGTTGACCAGGACTATGTGGGGGTTCGGGGTCTGGGGGGTTGCCGTGGGCGGTGCTGGCGCTGTGCTCTCCCTGGGGTTGTTTGGACCCCCTGAGCTTGGCTCTTGGGTGCCATGGTTGGCCCGCTGGCCGGGGTGGCTGCCGGGGCCTGGTGGGCAGGTGGCTGGGGGCGCGTGCTTGGTTGTTGGCGGTTTGTGGGGGTGGTCGGTGGCGTGTCCTCTTCATGGTGGGGGGTGTCCTGTCGGCTGGGCATGGCCTGGGCCGGGTCTGGGGTATTGGCTCTTCTCTGCTCGAGAATGAATGGGTTTACCTCCTGGGTTTGGGCATGGGCTGCCCCCTGTAGAGGGCGGGTACATGTCTTGGACCTGGGGGGTATAGAGTGCATATCGGGAATAAGAATGAAATGTATCGTTATTGTATGTCTTTGAGTGAGTGAATGTGAGAATGAGGTTGGGATTGTGTGATTGTGTCTGTGTATGAATGGGAATTTGTTAGGCCGAGACTCGGACTGCCCCCTCTTTGATACAACTGGGGGTGCTTGGCATCGCGCGGCCCCCTGGTGGGGTGTGCTCTTGCCTGCCGGCGCGCTTGGGGCCCTTGGTGTGTGTGGGCGCTTGGGCGTGTGTCGGCTCGGCCTGGTGTCTGCCTGGTGGGGCTCGGGTCCTCTGGCCCTGTCGGGCCTTGGCCTGGGTGGTGTGAGTCCTCGGTGCTCGGGCCTCGGTGCCCGGGCCTGGACCTACATCGGTGCGGCGGGTTCCGACGGAGGCCTATGAGTTTGTCGCTGTTGGCCCCGGGGAGTCACTGTATGTGGTCGCTGGTGGGGATCTTCCGGTTCTCCCCTGTGGTCCGTTCTGGGGGGTGGGTGAATGGTTCGTCCTGTGTGGGTGGCCCTGGGGGCTTCGCGGTCGGGGTCCCTCCTGGGGTCTTGGGCTCTGGTCCCCCCTTTTTCGTCTGCCTCTGGTCTTGGGGGTCGGGTCTCTGCTGCTTCACAGTTACCATTAAATGTTCTATTAGAGAAGCCTTATACACTTATGCATGCTCACAACCACACACAAATAGAAGCAGGGATGCTTATGTAGGCTTTATATGTAGATATGTATATGAATGTATATTCATGTGTATGTATGTACTGTATGTATATAGGCGTAGGTATGAGTATATATATATACATATTTATGGAAACTTACTGCAAAGCCATGAATATTTTAAGTTCTTTATACATATGTATTTTGTTGCTGTGTTTTGTCATGTTCTTTGCAGGTGAACAGACAGTGGCCGGGTGTTTTGCCGTGTGCTCTCTTTGTGTATATTTCTTATATTTTGGAGTCTTACTTTGTCTTTTCTTTCTTTCTATCCTATTAAAAAAAAAAAAAAAACCTACACTAGATAATCACTAGAATAAATATTTCATAATAATGGCGTGGAGAGGATGGCTGTAAGGGGAGAAGGGAGGCCATCTAGAAAAAATAATAATAATAATAATAATGATAACACAGAGAGCCCTTTGCTAATTTACAACTACTGTTTTCTTATTAGGCAGCACAGTGGCACAACTGGTAGAGAAGTTGCCTCTCAGCAAGCAGGTCCCTGTCTCAAATCCCGGCCCGGGGGGCTTTTTTTGGGGGGTGGGGGGGTGGTGGCACAGAGGTTAGAGAAGGTGGGTCTGTGATCGGAAGATCGCCGGGTTTTTATGAGTGTAGTTTGCATGTTCTCTCTGTGCATGCGTGGGTCGGTTTTCTCCAGGTGCTCCAGTTTCCTCCCACAGACCAAAAACATGCATGTTAGACTGATTGGTAACTCTAAATTGTCTCTAGGTGAGAGTGAGAATGGTTGTTTGTCTCGTTTGTCTCTATGTGTCCCTGTGATGGACTGGAGACCTGTCCAGGGTGTACCCCGCCCCTCGTACAGTGATTGCTGGACATGGGCACAGGCAACCCCCGTAACCCAAAATGGAAGAAGCGGGTAAAGAAAATGGATGGATGGATGGATGGATGGATGTTTTCTTGTTAGCTTGTCACAAATAAGGCAATAAATATACTTTTAGCAATCACTTTTACTGTAATAACCCTTAGTGTGATCCTGATGAGAATTAGGACATGGCAGGATTTAAAGTATTTTGAATAAATCTAGATATCAACACACAGTGCTTCTCTATTTCACAAAATACAACTTTTTTTTTTTTACAAATACAGGCGTAAGATTAGGAGCAGAGCTTGATTAAGAAACCATAAACAGGATGATACTTGCAGGTCAAAATGTTCACAACATAAATGTTCATTTCATTAAAAAAAAGACTGAATCCTTTGGTAAGGCATTGAGACTGCTGAAGCTTTAACAGAGTTCAGTCTTAAACTGTTTGGGATTTTCTTAGTGTTAATAATAAACAAATCTAAACTATTTTAAAAGCCTCTTTCCACTGAACTTCCACCAGAAAGCCTTTGCTGTTAATCAGTAACATCAAACTTGCGCTGCCTGGGCTGTGCGGTTGGTTTTAGACCTGAACATGAGTTTTCACAGGAAGTAGAAGCTGCTGATCATTCACGTTTTGTTTTAAATGTTCTCT